GGCGTTCCATTATACTCGCCGAAAAAATACTGCCCCTTCGCCTCTTTCTTTCACGGCCTCGCTCATCGCCCGGAGAATAACATTCGCACTTTACGATTATGCTTGCCTACTTTTTTTTTTATCAAGGAGGCCGGCTCTCTCGGATCGGCGTCAACAGCAGATTCACGATCGGCTGTTCCACGCACACGGGCCCCGATTAAAGTCGACAACGGCCGCTATGGGTCACCACGCTGAACGGCCGGCGAGTTCCGCATAAATCGAGAATTAAATAGACAAGCTTCCCAGGATCGGCATATAATCTCGCGAGAGTGTGTTAATCCTTGGGCGATGTATTCTAAACAATCTGATTCTTCGATGCCGCTAATCCTTCTTTTTTTCATTATACTCGAACAGATATATGCGCGTTTGAAATTATTTCGGCAAAAACAATAAATATAAATAAATGTTAATTTTGAACAAACATGAATATTATGTGATGTGCTATTTTATTTATTTAAAACATATTTCCTTCATTAAGCTGAGAATAATATTTTTATATTATTCTCAGAGAACACGAGGCTTAAAGGAATAAATTATTGAGTATAATGAGTGCAAAAAGATATCGCGAACATCACAACAACAGCATGGCGTGATGTTATTTCTACTCGGATTCATATTTTGCTTGATATTTTTGAAACACCATTTGTGTCACTTTAACGACCATACGGTGACCGGATGTCGTAATGACGTACCGACAAAAGCGCGCGTTTCAACTTCTTTTTCTTCTTTTCCTCTCCGCAAGTTGGTTCGCTTGCCTCTGTGTAGCTCTATCTACAGCATATATTCTTAATGCATTCTTCGCATATTTTCAATTCGCTTTTGTTATTCTGACTCGCTGTCTGCAGGCAATTGAGATTTTCAAACGCACAGAGTTGTATCGTATGTCATCGAAGCGCGACATTCTTAAAGCATTTGTTGTTGCCAAAAATTTGAGTTATCGATAATAATGCGTGATGACTGATGCTCGTGTTTTCGAACGAAGATAACAAAGATACCTTTTTGTATAAAAATAAAAATGTTGCAATAAAAATCGCGCGCCGTTTTATTTTGGTCCATACTGTGTTTCACAAACATATGGAGTGTTTTGTCGCGTTTCTCCAGCTTCTTTTTTTCCATAAGATAAGATAAATGGACAGATTCTATGTCTATCGTCTTCTCTCTCCTTTTTCACTTTCTCACGCAAAGCGACTTTAATAATTGTTAAAGGAAGGAGCACACCAGAATTATGACTAACAAATGCCAAAGAAAATATCATTTTTTGCTATAGTTTACGAGCGTACCGGGATGACTTCTTTGTGATGCTCCTCGCGACCAGATTGCTCCCAATTTAATGCTCGCGGCTCCGACCCGCTTTTTTTCGCCGAAGAAACGAAGAAATAAAATTAGCGGGAGCGCCGGAATTTGCTTCGTCGGACGTCGCAACATACGTAATCGCGAATCATCATTGTACTATTTGCACAAAGGAACGATAAGATTAAGCGGCTCTCTTTCCCATCGTCGAAAATCTCGAGCTAAACGTGCAACATTTTATCGTCGCCTTGGAAGATACGCTGATACTACAGGTTTATTGACAAGTGTGAGATGGAACGACGATACCGGAGTACTCGTAGCTACGCGCTATTTACTTAGCGTTTTGCCGTTGGTAGCGGCATGTCAATATCGCGCCGAACGCGACATCCGTATCCGAGAATGGGAAACCGATGTTCAAGAAATCTCATTATGTGAATTCGCATTACGTCATTGTATGCCAAAAAATGTTCGCCATTAAAAAGAAACAAAAATAATATAACATCTCTAGATCTAAATATTACAAAACCGGATATTTCTTACGACGATGTCGTACAACATGGACAATCAAAATACGATTAAATCGTCTTCCGCGCGCGATGGAACGAGGACCGTCAACAATTTTTTTTCTTTTTAGTTATCCGCAAAATGACAGCCATTCGGTAGGTATCCATCAGCAATCGTCCAATAAATCGAACCGTGCCCGCGAATTTCCCGTTCTCGCAATGGACGGTAATTCAATTTCGTTTACGCAATTTCGCGCGTTCGCGAGTGGCGGAGCGATCGACGACTCAACGGGTGTCCCGATCGTTTCCCGCCGTTTTCAACGTTTCCTTGGTGGTGTGCAAATCGCCGCGCGCAAATCGTAACTCGTTCACCACCTACGAGAGATCGGCGAGAAACGTTTCCTCTCGCTGATCTGGCCGCCGTACGGCGATCGCAATCTTCCGCGACTCGCACGGTCCCGTGGCGATTCGTTGCGCTTGTAAAGTGATCGCGATTGTACACACCATGACTGAAAGTGATCTGCTCGTTAAGTATCGCGGACGCCCGAGAAAGACAGCGCTTGGAAAGTGAGGGAGAGACGGCGAGATCGCGATCGAGAAAATAACGACGATACCCCCGACGACGTACGCGCGATTAATGGCGAAAGTCGCGAGCGCGACCGGGAAGAAGGTTTGCTCTCGCCACGCTTCTTGTCTCGAGTCGATCTTGCGCGAGCGACAGCGGAACTTGGATGTTATGTAAGCTCTTAGTAGCTCGCTTCCGCTTTGTCGTAATATAATATCAACAGAAATTACCACTGGCGAGACGGATTGCAAGTAAAAGTTTGTTTCCCGTAATATGTCGTGTGATCAGAATGCTCTGCCGTTACTATAATACTAATGAATTCTTTGAATGAAGATTTTTCACTTGTGAGATTTTGATTAGGCCATTTTAGTGCAATTTAGCAACTTCCAAATATTATGTATATCTTTGTCGTCGAATGCAGAATTAAATATATATAAAATAAAGCCAAATACATAAAATTTAGCAGTGATTAAGAATTAAATTATCTATTGTCTATTTTTCAAATTTATCTGATAATTAAACCGTAAATCAAGTTTTAATTAAAATGTTTCTTATAAATTAAAAAGATTTCATTAATAGAAATGACAATAATGACACAGTATACTATGTATAACTAACAATTAGAAATTATTAATTGGATCTTTGCGGTTTGTTTTTGCTAGCATAATAAGCGTATAATTAAACGCTAATATAGTTTTACATACCCATTCGATTCCATTTCTGACAATAGATAAGAATCTGAATGTTCGAATGCGCGCAATAAAAAACGCGAGAAATATCCAATCCACAAAGTCACACCTCACAAAATAGTACTTCCGCTTAGATCGCCGTCCTGAAAACGTCCGATAATCATTATTCTCGTAATCGTATCCGGCGTATGAATTTGGCGCCAGGCCGGATTTTCCGTTTTCACGACGACACCCCGTATATCGCTTGGGAAAATAAATCTTGTGGACACTCACCGGGAGGGAGACTGGACACTGGAGGCTGTCACCGGACACGGGTTGCAGCGACTGCAACAGATCGCGTGCGTGAAAGAGAGGACGGCCATCAATGGCTGCATTATACAATACTCGGTGGTAGTATATACGGCAATACATGTTTGCCGGCGCGTAGTGCGCGAGTGTGCGTACGCGCGTTCGCGTGCACCTTACCGTGTATGTGCGCACACCGAAGACGCGTACATGTGTGCGGGCATATACATGAGTATATAGATACCACCAAATGGGTCCACACGGTCCGAACGGGGCGTGCTGTGCACCGCGCGCGGCAGGTATTGCCGCCAGGAGAGGCTCTCCGGCGCACATAACCCGTTCACGAACGAGCGAGAGACGAACGGATGAAACCATCCGTGAGCGACGAGGAGAAACGATATATGCGTGCTCCACCCTGTTCTTGGGTTTACTTTTCGACGAGTATTTCGCCGATTAGATATCGCTCTTTTGCAAACAACTGCGTTGCGAGTGCGTTCGATTATTGTACATCCTCATCTCTTTTTCTCTCTCTCTCTTTTTCTCGCTCTTCGTGCCTCGCTGCTCTCTTCCTCTCTTTCATGTATTTATCGCCGCTCGATGCCGTCATATACGTGTACTTCGTTTCTGCGCCCCCTTTTCCCCTTCCTGTTTCCATCGCGAAAATCTCTCCCTTCTTGCTCGTCCATTCTTCTTTACTTTCTCCTTCCATCTTTCGTTCTTCGTCTCTCTTTTGATCTCACTCGACCGGATCGACTTGTTCATGTGTACAGCCGCAATAACTATATCCAGCCCGGGGTCTTTTTTAGGCGTTAGGCCGTTCTTACGCAGCTTGAAAACGAATTGACTTATTGTAAAACCGTGTCCCGCCGTCCGTAATTGTCCGCGCGTGCCTGTGTGTAAATACTTGGACCGAACCTCAAGTAGTCAAGTATACGGCGTGTATTTTTCTCCCTTGTCATTATGCCGTCACGTGCGCGACTCTAAGCAAATCCTATTTTTCGCGCTGATCATCTTGAGTAAAATCACACGTTCGTATTGTCAAACGAACGATTCGAAGGAATCAATTGCCGCAAAAGCCAATCTTGAGTCATATTTACGAGCAAAATATAAATTATTTCGATAGCATATCAGTAAAGAGAAGTGAGATATCATGGGTTCCTAGCATGACAATTCCTTTCACGGAACGAAAATTATTGTCCTAATACTTCAATAAAAAGATATCAATCTCATTTCTGCTAGATAAAAACTGAGACAAGTAGACGGGTATAAAATATTGTGGATTCTAGAATCCATTTGATGAGTGTAACAGGAAGTGCGGATTTATATAAGTTAAAAAATGCCATTATATGATTACGTTAACATGATTTCAATTGAAATACGCTTGTAACTATATGCAGGCGCAACGGCTCGGTATAATGGATACGTGTCATATTCGCGAACATGCTACACGGAGGTATATCGCTAGGGGAAGCATCGCCGATAAGTCTCATTGGTTTGTAGTCAGACTGCGGCGATAGATTTCATAGTAATGTTAAAGGTCTTTATGGGTTCCATTAAGTCACATTGTACACGGGCGAATAGCCGCGTCCCGAATGAATAAGCACAATAAGCAGGTGCCGTTTGACTCACCGGGTTCGAATCTCCTTCCAGCTGATCGGGTTTACGGCCGTATCGACCCCGTCCACCGTCGTACAATTATGGCGAACATCAGGAAGCGCACGATCCTGCGGACAAGAAAGAATCTTGGTCAGCTTGACGAATAATGCGAAACGTCATTCCGCGCCGTTTAACCTTTGACAAACATTCGCGTGTAACACATTTAGAATTACATCCTCTAATGTTCTCACATATTATCTATTATTTCTACTTTTATCACTCGTGCGGATTGTTACAACTGGTTCTCAAACCTTGTTAAATTTCTGATCCGATCACACAGAATAGTCACTGACGTTGAAGGATAGCGATAATCAAATTTCACCGTCGTTGCAGAATTAAATTCTGCATCAAGTTATTTGTATCATGCGTACTTTTCATATCAATTTTAATTATTTTACTATCTTCATGATATAATTAGTATATTCATTGGATGAAAACTAGAAGACTCAGCATGAGACACGTGCCAGCATTTTGTTGGCCATAAATCAGCGGATTCCGGTTTAATGTTACGCAATTTGAACGGATCGGGATTGTTCAAAGCGAAGAAGACAAAAAATAAATTTCAAAAATGCATGGTTGCAAGATAACAAGAGATAACAATGCATAGGCGTATATTCTTAAGTCACTTAAGTTAATAGACAGAAAACACGATAAGATAGAACTATTAACCATCCCATCCATTTGTACAAAAAGTAAAGAGAGTAAATGTAATAAAGTTCATAATTGAAAGAAAAAAAAAATAAATAAAATGTAGCGTTGATCGATTTCTCTCTCGATTTCAATCTTAAATCACTTCATTGCGAACAAAAGATTAAAGATAGACAATCAAAACACTTATATTGCAACAATTTTTATTTTCAGTAATATTGTTAGACAATTATTATACCTGCGTAAAATTTCGAAAAATTATGCGGTAACTTCGAACGTGAATATATAAGGAGGTCATTATAGCGTCATAATAGCTTCCATTCAAATAATGACAAAAAAGAAGACGTCCCGTTAAACACTATCTAGAATTCGTTATATCGGGGTCGAAGGATTGGCGATTTGCGGTTGGTTACCCACGGATACGAAAGATCCTGGGAGAAGACAAAGAACGATGATTCAGAGGTAGGAGGAGAGAAGAACCTGGTAGATGACACGAGATTCCTACGAAGGTAGGTACTACGTCATTGTCTTTTTCTTCTCCATTTCGCTGTTCTCCTTCTCTGTCTTTCTCTCCCATGCACCTTCTATGGTTTAACGTTTTAGACTTGAAACGCCGGCATTCCTGCAGTCGCATGGAATCCGACGATGTTAAATGAATCGTCTTGAGAAAATATAATGTCCACTAAACATTCTTCTCTCTTCCTCTTTTGTAATTTATAACCGCGTAAAAATCAACTAAGTATCTGACAAATGTTTGATGTCATTTCATTAGATATATAGTACAATTATAGTAAAATATCATAACTAGATGAAATAATGTTTTATTAAGCAGCAATTTTTTAATGAAATATCCCTCCAACTCTTTTTATTTTGCATATGTAGTAAAATGACGTCAACTCTTTGTCACGTCAAGTATTTAAGTGAACACGATTAGTGTCTCAAAACCTACTAATTATAACAGATCTTTTATTCAGTTGCTTATATTATTATATTATATTTAATTTTAGAAAACAGATTTCTTGTATTAAAATAACTTTCAAAAAGAATTAAAAGTTTATTTTGCGCATAAAAGTTCGATAAGAATAATAAAAAGATTTCATTATTCGATTTAGCGAACGGAAGTCGTTGGCTTTTAGGCACTCCTTTCTCGAAAACTGGTAGGATCATATCGTTTTTCATTTCGGAAGATCGCAGGTAGCGCCCCGCTCTATCAATAGACCGGTTGATCAATTCGCAGGCGCGTCGGCGAGGTTTACCTGTGGCACGTGTGGGCGTTCCTGGGTAGCAAGCAGCCGTAAAGTCGTTAAGTAGCCACTTCAGACTTTAGAATCAGGAGGTGATGGATCATTAGCCCTGAGGATCTTTCCGTAACCTACAGTCTCTGTCGAACCAATAGTGGTTACATGCTTCGACAGGATACCACCGTGAAGCATGTAATCGTTCAGCCGAGTTTCAACCATCCGTGAAGTAAAAACGATGTCCGCGCGATCGTGACGTTGCTAAATCGTAACGCGAATTAATTTTCTTCGAAAATCAAACAAAATGCAATTCACTTATTGCAGATCAATACAAAATTACATAACAATAGAACTGTGACTTAATTTCTCTACTTCCAAAGATGATACATTTCCTTTTCCATTTTTTTGTATTTTGTCAAACGAATGTATCGCACGAGCATCAAATTATGTAGAGAAATATGCAATAGATAATAAGTGAAAAAATATATATGATAATCAGCGAATGAGAATACACGCGGATACAGAGGATCGTGCCGCGCTAATACGGCGGTTGATAAATTCGCGAGCGTGAAGCGATATAGCCGCGGGCGTACTACGGTTTCTAGGCAGTGAGAAGCCATAAAGACGCTAAATAGCCACTTTCGACCGGGTAAGAAAGTGGTACTAGAGCGTCAGAGCCCAAGGGTGAGAAGATTGGAGTCAACGGCATACGGAACGCTTCGAGAGAGTACATAAAATCAGTTTGGATTACGCGCAAATGGACGGATAGAGACGCGCACGGCACGGAAGTTTGTGATGGAAGCATCTAGCAATAATGAGAGTTCGATGTGCCAGGGGGACGTCGTGCCGCCGGTATATAAACGCCGCGCGCGTTCCAGTTTATTCCTCGCCGTGCCAGGAAGGCGCAACAAATCATCGACGGTGGTACACCGCCGTGGATCGTTTCTTCTTTATGAGCGCGGTCGTTATGAAGCATCAAGCGCACATATCGCGATCGAAAGTACCGATTTCGCTTTCGTTTCACGACTATATATTTGTCAGTGGCGATCCAAGTCGCCATAGTTTGCAATGGAGATTATTTAGCGCGACTTTAGTGCCAATGGCACCAATGATATCTTTAGAATAAATCGAGATTGATATCATTCGGTAGGAACGAAAAGAACGGAATGCTACGGCATAATATATTACATAACGTGAAAAAATTATACTCGTTTTAAGTGCACATTTACGCAACGTTGTATTGTTGAATGATCACGTATATAAGGGTACATGGAGAGATGTGTATGTCGCAATAAACTGCAGAGCAATTAAAACCGGTAATTGAGATAAGCAGGAACTTAATACTGGATTAGATAGTGCATAGTAAAGTAAGATGTAGAAATCGCTTCGCGTCATAGATCAGTCGCAAAGATAGGTAGAATAATGCGCGTTTTGTAAATAGCGATTCATTAGGAAAGGCTCGAACAAAACAATCAATATATGCGAATAAATGCCAAATGATCAATATCGATACAACCATGCATGATACAAGAGCACGTATGTATTGTGCCATACATGTTATGCGTAAGTAGACAAGTTATATTAAAGCGGACAGTTCTCCAGAAAGGTAAGATATCGCGGTAATATGCTAATAGCGCGTAGGCGTTTTCTGGAAATAAGGAAGCATGCAACATAAAGACAACCACTTTTGGACGCAGGACTTTTGCATGGAACAGGTACCTGAAACCGACGTAAATTTATAATTGGGTCCTTCGCCCACGCGAGCGAATATATTATTGCCTCTAACATATTCTAAAATATGTTAAACATTTACTATTCTTTGATATATTACCATTTACTATTTTACTGGCATAAAAAATTTATTGTTATTGTTACACGCATTTATATATGAATGTAAGGATATAATTTATAAATGTAATAATTGTCCCATTGCAAAAAATTCTCTTTTTAGATTAATATAATATATACATTAAATTAATATGATAATTACGATATATACATTTATGTAAATGCCTCAGAGAATTATGTAAAAATTAAAAAAACAGATAAGAAAGTAGATGTCGAATCGTTATAAGTAGTTCGTGAAACTTCAGAGCTTGCTATCAAGTTAGGTGACGAGACCTGCATTCGAAGTCGATGGCGCGATCACTTTTAGCGTTTTCGAATAACGAATGGCCGGAGAACAATCGGAGTACACGCGGGAATCGGCGCGGAGGAACCGCGAATGTATGCGATCGGTCAGGTAGTTCAGTGGACGAGTGGTTTGCCGGTTGGAAGGCGAGTCCGAGCTGCTGGAAGGATGCTGGAGAGGCCGAGTGGTGGCGGCACGGCCGGTGTGGTCAGGTGGCTCGCAAGGACGCGGCAGGCCGTTCACCCGTTCACCCATTCGCCCCCTTCCGCCCCCTTGCCGCCGGCTGCCCCCCTCACCGCCGATCACTATACGTACACGCTGGTATTCACGTATACACGGATACGTACACACATTTGTAGGCTCATCGCTGATCTCTCTTCCTCTCTTTTCTGACTTATCGTCCCTCGCCCATTCTCTTCTCCTCCAGTATCACGGTGTTTTCCCCCGCCTCTCCCTCCGTTGAGTCGTCTCCGCTCTAGATCCGAACGTGAGCGCAGCCTTAACTAAGTTACCGGTATTTGTACTCCGAGAAATCGCCGGTTACTGTACTCCCCGTGTAAACACGATAATTGACCCGTTACACTTTGCACCTCGCACGAACGAGAATTTGTTTCTTTAAGGCGATACACACGGTGTGTATCGCCCTCGCGAGAGAGTCGCTTCTTGCATCTCATTTTTATTTCTCGTTATATTTCAGGCCCTCAGCCCGGGGCCTATAATACGCTCGTAAGTGTATTAATGATATCGTGAAAGTACAGTAGAACTCGTGAAATGTAGGGGTTTATGGCGTAATTTTGCGCGAAGTGGAAACGATACTATTAAAGCAACATTATTAGCATTTTATGATCGCTACGTCTACTAGAAATTTAAAGAGACACAAATTATAGACGTAAGATATAAAGTGAGAATAGAGCACAACAGAAAAAGGGTTTATATACATAGTGATGGTGATTTCGAACAATGATTATGCTATGTAGTTCTTCTTTTAATCATTTAAATTGCGACATAAAAACCCAAAGCGGGCACGATTGAAACAGGTTTGCCAGGTTTC